GTAGTAGTAGTAGTAGTAGTAGTAGTAGTACTAGTAGAAGTAGTGGCAGTGGTAATAACAGTAGTAGTCGTAGTAGTAGTAGTAGTAGTAGTAGTAGTAGTAGTAGTGGTAGTAGTAGTAGTAGTAGTAGTAGTAGTAGTAGTTGTACTAGTAGTAGTAGTATTAGTAATAGTAGTAGTGGTAGTAGTAGTAGTAGAAGTAGTAGTCGTCGTATTATTAGAAGTAGTACTAGTAGTAGTAGTAGTCGTAGTCATAGTAGTAGTCGTAGTAGTAGGTCTAGTAGTAGTAGCAGTAGTAGCACCAGTAGTGACTACTACTACTACTACTACTACTACTACGACTACGACTACAACTACAACTACTACTACTACTACTACTACCACGACTACTACTACCACTACTACTTCTATTACCGCGATAATTACGGTGATAACCTCTGCTTAAATTTGTATGACTACCTCTACTAGTGTTATTTCTGCCACTACTACTACTACTACTACTACTTTCAATGTTACTACTAATGTTAGTAGTATTGCTACACCAGGATGCACCTGCTAATACTGCTTCACCAGACTACCACTGCTACGACTACGACTACGGCTACGGCTTCGACGACGACGACGATTACGATTACTATTATTACAACTACTTCTAGTATTGGTACTAATACTAGTACTAGTACTCGTATTCGTACTATCTCTGGTCTTCCTACTACTACCACTACTCATATTACTAGTACAAGTTCAAGTATTACTACTACTGCTACTACTACTTCGACTACTACTACTACTACTGCTACTACTACTACTACTATTACTACTACTACTACTACTACTACTACTACTACTACTACCACGACTACTACCACGACTACGACGACTACTGCTTCTACTACTACTACTACTACTCCTACTACTCCTACTACTACTACTACTACTACTACTACTACTACTACTACTACTACTACTATTACTGTCACTACATGTATCACGGTGACGATCGCAATCGTTGTGAGTAGTACTACGACTACTCCCATGACTCCTACTAGCACTACGGTTGCGGCAGTATCTATATATATATATATATACAAGACTGCAGTGGTGCTTCGCGCCATGCACCTTGGTCCTTGAAGTTTGGTGTACGGGCGGAATAGCAGGAAGGTCAAGCCGACAATTTTGTGATAACTCCTTGTTGCCTTTTCCGGCATCGCCGCTATAATAATGTTATTCGTTATCCTTCCTCCATGCTTCTTTTTCTTCATTTTCGCCATACCCTGCGCATTCTCCTCATCCTCCGCAGTTTGTTTGCGGAGGCGCATCTTTGGAGAGCCTCAGGGGGCCTCACAGAAGTTTTCGCAGGCTTTCTTAAGGCCTTCTGGAGGCCTCCTGGGCGTACTCTGGGGGCCTCTGGGACTTCCTCGGGCCACCCTGCCTCCAACCGCGGTCTCCCTGAACGACCGGGTCACGATTTGAAATGCTTCGGAGGGTGTCTTGGGGCCATCTTGGGCCGCCATGGGGCTCTCTGAGGTTGTGCCGTTTTGGGGCTCTTTTGGACTGCCTGGAAGCCCTTGCGGATGGTTGCGGGGCGATTTTGGAGCCTCCCAGGCGGTTTCAGACGCCCCTCTTGGGGCCTTCTTGGGAGTGCTCTTGGAGGCCTCTTTGGGGCCGTCCTGGAGGCCTCTTGGGCCATCTTGAGGTCACGTCGGTCACTCTTGGAGTGCTGTTGTGCTGTCTTGGGGGTCTCTGGGACGTCTCCGATGACCCCCCTGATCGCCTTAGGTGTGCTGGGAAGGCTTGACAAAACGCCCTGCGAGGCCCAGGGGGCCGCTTCGAGGCCCGTCCGGAGGGTCCCAAAGCACCTGCTCCCGGGAGTCCGGTTTTGGGTGGGGGGTTTTCCCCCCGCCCGGGTTTATCAAAATATAGGAAGAGGAATATATAACATTATCCTTGCCAGTATTTGCACCTTCTGGGATGTCTTCCCTTACAAGATGATATCAACACCTTTCTGAATTAATTGTTCTTGCAGAAGGAATTTGACAAGGTTAGGAAATTTTTCCCTCTCCAGAACTCCGTGCGTTCATTTTTCATGTTTTTTCCTAAGAATTCCGGGCCTCCGACATCCGCACGTCCGTACACCGTGCATGCGTACATTATCAGTGTGACTATTATATTTCGACGTTTACTTTTACTTTTACTTTTACTTTTACTTTTACTTTTACTTTTACTTTTACTTTTACTTTTACTTTTACTTTTACTTTTACTACTACTACTACTACTACTACTACTACTAGTACTACTGCTAGTATTATTATTACTACTACTAGTACTACTACGACGACGACGACTACTACTACTATGTCTACTAGTATTTCTACTACTTTTACTACGACGACGACGACGACGACGACGACGACGACGACGACTACTACTACTACTAGTATTAGTACTAGTACTACTACTACTACTACTACTACTACTACTACTACTACTACTACTACTACTACTACTACTACCACTACAACTACTATTACTGCTACTACTACTACTACTACTACTGCCACTACAACTACTGTTACTGCTACTACTACTACCACCACCACCACTACTACTACTACTGCTACTACTACTACTACTACTACTACTGCTACTACTACTACTACTATTACTACTACTACTACGACGACTCCTACGCCTACTACGACTATTTCTTTTATTGCTACTACTTGTAGTCCTACTATATTCTCATTACTACTACAGCACTCCGTGTACCGTATATCCGGAAGTCGTACATACGTACATCAGTACATGCGAGTTGTCAGGAACATTGTTCATTATCCACCCGGGACCCAGAACTTAGTACCCCCACCTTGTGATTATCGGGGGCACGTTGTTCAGCGCCTTTTAGTGCAAGCACTGTTTGATACTTTCTGCTATAGTTTTCCAGAGAAGTCATTGAAAACCATGGTCAAATTGCGGAGGCGAGGGGGTGACCTTGCCCGTCGGTGGGGGGACTCTAATGCTTTTGAGATCGCGTGGGTTGCTCGGCCTTCACTGGCTGCTTGTTCGGAGTTGCCGTGTTTGTTCAGTATTGCGATCGTGCTTGGCCGATTTTACGCGTGGAGGGTTTCTTCTAGCTTGCTATTCTTCACGCTTGGGGTATCCCCACCAGCCCATCCAGAAACGACGCCCAGGCGAGTTGACGAGTTGCGTTGATCAGGGAAGTGTGGGAACAAGCAGTGGAACAACGAGGGGGGTCAACCGTCAAACCGAAGCATGGGATCAGCCTGAGCAGACCCAGCAGTCAACCACAAACGCCTTCTCGGATCTTTCGATATGGGGGCCTCTGACCTGCTTGCTTGGGCCATCTTGGAGTCCTCGTGGGGCCATTTTGGATGCCCTTGGGGGTCTCTTGGGGCCCTCTCGGTGGTCTCTTAGGGCTCCCTCTGGGGGCATTTTGGGCCTTCTTGGGGCCATCTTGAGCGGCATCGATCAAATAAGGGGTCCCTTGCCTCCTTGGAGCCCCCCATATCGGCTCTTGGGACCCTCTTGGGCGTTCTTGGGGCACTCTTGGGCGCTCTTGGACAGTCTTGGAGCCCTCTTGGGCTCTCTTGGGGCTGTCTCTGGCCATCTTGGAGCTACCGTGAGGCCCCAGGAGCCCATCGGAAGAAACAGAGAGAGAGAGAGAGAGAGAGAGAGAATGCGGCTAACATTTGTTTGTCGTAAAGGTTTTGGCATCCGTGGGCATTCGGGGCCGTCTTCGGAGACTCTTGGAGGCATCCTGGAGGCCATCTTGTGCCATCCTTGGCCATCTTGCGCCATCTTGGATGTCATTTCAAGCTGTCAGGAGCCATCTTGGAGCAAGGTGGGCCCAGCCGCTTCCCGACGGTGCCACCGACATGCCAAACTCGTTACAAACCATTGATGTTTGCTTTGAGCGGGGGGGGCGTATCAGCCCAGCCCCTCAGGAGCACCCACATCGGCTCTTGAGGCCCTCCTGTGACGCTCTTGAGGCGCTCTCGGGGCCGTCTTGGAGCCTTCTTGGGACTTTCTCGGGCCAACTTGGAGCTTTCCGGGGGCCTCAGAAGCCACATTGTGAGGCGAGAAGGCGAGACGGCAATCATCACTTGGCTTCCCACGGCTTTGGAAGGATATTGTTTTTTGGGGCCTTTTGGGCAGACTTCGTGGCCACTCGGAGCCGTCTTGTTTTTTTTTGGGGGGGGGGCTTTGGGGCCTTCTGGACGCATGCTGGACACCGCCGTGCGATATCTTGGGATATCTTGTGCCATCTTGGGGGCAATCTTAGGCTATCGAGGGCCATCTTGCAGACATCTTGGACCCAACAACGCCCTGACACCTCGCGACACCCTGGTCCACACCCCAGGGGAGGAGGTAGGGGGAGGGCAGGTATCCTGCCCCGAAGGATGGCCGTCTTGCTCGCGTCTACCCGCCCTCCCACCACCACAACCAGAGTCTTAGCATAGGCAAGGGCCGCCATCGACAACCATGGGGAACCAACGCAGACGCCAGTCAGGTGCGAGATGCCCGCGAGGTGCGCCGCGCGTGCCAGGGCCCCCCCCTGTCATCCTTGTCAAAAGTAGTGCAAAATGATCGCGGCGCGCCATCGCATAGTCCAATCTTTTGCTGCAGCGTGTGCTGTGAATTTGTTTTGACAGGGATGGTGGGCCTGCAAATATGGGGCAACGTGATGGCACCGTTGTCCCGATTCAAACCGATAGTTGTACAAAGTGATCGCGAGGCGCCCGAGCGTGATCAAGACTTGGCTGCAGCGTGCGCTTTATGGTTTTTAGTTTTTGGCATGGATGGTGGGGGGGTGTCGGCACGGTTTGGGTCGGCGGCTGATCGAGTGCGGGAGCGGGTGTATATCCATACGTAGCAGTGATGAGCCCTTCTCCGAAGGGGGAGAAGAGAGCTGCAAGAAGAAACGCTCTAGACCATCTCAGCTCAGAGGGCCGGCGGGATTTTGGCATCGCCCATGGACAGGACGACGTTGTTCCAGCCGGCTACTTCGCCAGGGAGTATATGGCGAAATTCTATCAGGATACTTGGGCGAAGTACGTTCACGGTAAGAACAGAACGAAGCTAGCAGAGCTCTTGTTCAGACGCGACGATTCCACAAAGTACAAGTTCAACGTCAAACGGTCAAGGGAAACCAATTGGTACAACAGGCACAACTGGGGAATCTCGCTCCAGATGTTGCACCGCATCGGCCTTCCGTTCCTGAAGATCCCAGCGATCTTCCAGGTGCAGCCGTACGTGCAGCTGGCGATTGCGTACAATGTGAAGGAGATCATCGAGGCAATCAAGGCCTTCGGATGCAACTCCTGGGAGGTCAGAGTCTAATTTTGCCCTGGTCCGAGATCCGGCTTCATCTGGCTTGATCCCGCTTAATCCGGCTTACTCCCGCTTAATCCCGTTTAATCCGGCTTAATCCCGCTTAATCCGAGGCCCACTCCGGCGTAACAGCCGCCCAATGGGGCTTACTCTTTTTTATCCTTCCGACGAATAACTCCCAGTAGTTGCCTCCAAAAAGGCCCGTATCGGAGCGAAGAGCGGCCCGAGCATGCTGCAGTCCCACAAGGCTCGGGTGGAGGCGTGCAAGGCGTGCGTCAGAGTCCAAGGAGCGCGGGGGGCGGCCTCGGGGGCCTGATGGATCGGCCTCGGAGCTCCAGTGCTGGACAGCATGGGAGGAGGAGGGGGAGGAGGAGGGGGGAGGAGGAGGAGGAGGAGGAGGAGGAGGAGGAGGAGGAGTGAGGAGAGGAGGAGGATGGAGGAGGAGGAGAGAGAGGAGGAGGAGGAGGAGGAGGAGGAGGGAGGGGGAGGAGGAGGGGGAGGAGGAGGAGGGGAGGAGGAGGAGGAGGAGGTAGAGGAGGCGGAGGAGGAGGAGTGGTAACCAAGAAACAATACTAATATGAAAATAAGAGGGCGATGAGGAGGACGAGGATGGGGACTGGGGCGAGGGAGACGAGGACGAGAAGGACGACGAGTTGGGGGAGGAGGAAGAGGAGGAGGAGGAGGAGAAGGAGGAGGAGGAGGAGGAGGAGGGAGAGGTTGGGTACGAGCCATGAGGAGGAGGGAGAGGAAGAGGACGACGAGGAGGAGAAGGACGAGGGCGAGGAAGACGAGGAGACGGATGATACTGATGATGATGCTGATGATGATGATGATAATGATGATGATGCTGATGATGATGATGATGCTGATGATGATGATGATGCTGATGATGATGATGATGATGATGCTGATGCTGCTGATGATGATGATGATGATGATGCTGATGATGATGATGATGATGATGATGATGATGATGATGATGATGATGATGATGATGATGATGATATGATGATCTGATGATGACGAGGAGGATGATGATGA